ATCTTAGCATCTTGTGATATATTAATGATCGTCTTAGGGGTTTATAAATAGAATTAATGACCGTCTTAGGGGTTTATAAATAGAAGTTATCTCATTACATGCTTTTTCCTACCCCCTGATGCGTGTGGTGCTCAAATATGCTCCCTTCCTGTACATAAAGGTGGACACATATGCTTCCCCACAGAAAGAGGTGAGAAGGAAGATTACAACTTCTACGTACACTAGGTTTTTCTGCATGTGCTTATGCACCTAAAAATTGACATCTATGGATATTGAATTTCTAGTGTAAATTTGACCTTTTGACAGTATTAAAAAAAACAATCTACTTATTCAGCTTGGTAAAACTAATATAAGATGTTTGATACCCACATATGGACATGGAACTCAAAACTATGTGGGGCTTTTTATGGAAACAACCTATGTTACATGGGTACTTCTAATATGGAGCCATACCTATACCCGATACTTCTTGGACACTCCTTAGTTATATGCATATGTTTATTCAGGCATGTAGTCAATTATACAGTGCATGTTTAATTTAAAACACTCATCAGACACTTCTTTAATATATATCCCATACTTCATATCCATTTTTGTAACTTGTTGGATAAGAATCTAGTTCGCAATAGAGATGTGACACATCACTACCAAGCACAAAATTTGTGCTTGGTACCAAGCATACCCATATTTCTCTATATATATATACATATATATATATATACATATATATATATATTCGCAGCAAGATAATAAATAACAGTAAGCAGCCAACCAAACAACAAACTTTTTATTATAAGAAACTTATTTACAATAGGAAAGTCTTACAATAGATGAACACTTATAATTTTAGACCGGCACACCTTACAATTAGTTCTTCTGCTGCCACTCTTATCTTACTATTTTACAAGAGACTCAACTTATTTTAAACTCTTTCTCCACTTTTCTAACCTTGCTCCTCTCTTCTACCTTCATTCCTTATTTATAAGCTTAAGTCATCTTTAGAAATTTCTCGAATCGTTTAACATGTCATTAACCATTTTGAAAAGCTGCTTTATTAAAGATGCTTTATAAAAAGTTACTTTATAAAAGTTTTCTTTAAAGTTAAAGATTTCTTTTTAAAAGCTACTTTTATAAAGTGGCTTTATTAAAGTGGCTTTTTGGCGTGGCTCCCCGAGGCTCAACTCAAAAAAGCAATTAAGCCATCCCCTTTCCTTTAAGGTCCGGAGTATCAATATCATTTAGAATTCCCATAGCAGCATCCCACATCATGTCGATATCATCATCGGAATTTTGAGCATCTGGAAGAGTTATATCTTCTCCCATAGAACTATTGCTTTTATTATCGGGGGTGTCAAATGCTTCAAAAATTGTTTTTTAAAATGTTCTAAGCATTTCTGTTGAACTTCATATTCAGAAGCTTGGGGATATTTCCTGCGAATCATCTTTGCTATTTTAAGCATTGGATTTTCTTTTTGGATTTCTTGAGTCATATCTTTCTCAAGAATACTATTATTCTTTTAGATAATTTGTTCTATCTGCTTGACTTTTTCTTCAAGCACAATTCCGGACCACCATCTACAATAGAAGTTTCTTTTTAAAATTGGCAGATGTGAAATAGTCCATTCTGTTTCAAAGGACCATGCCCAAATCCATGAAATCTCTGTTTATACAAAAAAGTAGATTGGACAGAGATCATCTATAAGTTGGCTTTCATCCATTTTAGATATAATAAGATTAGAATTTACCCATGAAGAATATAACTTCATTATCGGTTCTGATATTATGCTTAACTCAGCACCATATGTTTCCCACCAATGGTAAAATCATGCTGGAAGACCTTTATTAATAGCTTCTGGACATAGTTTTATTAACTATGTATGTTTATTTTTGGGATTCTGGTATAAAAAGACATTATAATATGCCTGCTTATAATCCCAGTAATTGAAATAGTATAACTCATTCTTATTCTGGGATTTAACCAGAGGTAATTCCTGATTAGGATTGATAGCCTAATTTCTTGGTTGTATTACTTATTGAATAATACACTTGCTGAAGCTTGGCGGAACATTATGATTTTCGCTACTTCAGAAATGTGTTATTTCCATTCCCTTTTGTATGATAAAGGGTTTTCATCCAAGCTCTTGATTTTAAGGATAAGTTGGATAATATGTCTCATTCAAATATTTTTGTTTGAGCTTATCTGGATAATTCATAAGAGGAATATCCTCTCGTTCTAAATATAGAACTGTTTCATTTGTCTTTTTTGAAGTCCACTCTACTTCCTTTTTAACTATAGAAGTAAA